TATTCTGAACTCTTTGTCAATTCATCGATCTTCATTTCTTTATGGTTAATCATTGTAGTTTTATTAGTTTCCTTTGGTGATGTCATACTTACCTGACTTTTTATGATCCTTTATTTGTTATATTGGTATCTACACATTTTAGTATTTAGGCTCCTCTTTCAGACTTTATAGGTTTGCTTTGTCAGAGAGACTTCTTCACCAGTCATGTGAGTTTGGTTTTTGAGTGTGTCTTCTGGCAATGTCTTTAGACAGGTAGAGCTCTGCAATTGCCTGAATTCTCTGATCAAGCTTACTAGATGGTCATAACTGGGGTATATATTCAGTAGTAGATGGGGCTAAAATTAACTTCCTTGCCATGTCAGGGAGCACATGAGGGCAACAGTTTTGTTCTGCAGATGGGGGAGGCCATGGGCTGTGCTCTCTGTCTGAGTGTCATTGTAGCTAGGACTGTTGAATGGGTATTGCAGCTTCCCGTGTGCTTTGGTTAGGTTCCCTGACTGGACAGGCTGAGGGCTATATTAAGCAATGAGCAGGGCTACAAATTAGATTCCTTGTCCGAGAAGCAGTTTGAAAGCCAGTAAAACTCTTTAAACTAAGCAGTTAAAAAGCCAGTAAAAACAAAAACTCTAAAAAGTTTGTTTTCTTAACTCAAGCCAAATCACACCTCAAGTTCCCTAGCTAAAGAGGGCCATTGGGTTGGCTCTGAAAACTACTGCCTCTACCCAACTCTCAGCTTGAGCTCTGCTGGGGCTCATGGTTTCCCGGAGTTGTCTGCAGTTGTTCTGGCCAAAAGGAGCCAGAAGACATTCTCCATAGTGAGTGGGGCTGTAATTCAGCTCCCTATTTGAGCAAAATGGTCTCTGGGGCCAGCACCAGTCCTCCTCTGAGGATCTGAATCAGGCAAATCTGCAATCAGATGTGTTTATTGGTCATAGTGTGCCCCCAACTTCATTCTACAGATGAGCAAATTAGATTGAGATTACTACTTGGATACGACAGGTATGAACTGGGCCTGCCAACATCCATGTGCTGGTTGTTGCAAACCCCTTTCTACTTCTCCATAACAATCAGATCTTTAATGATTCACTTCACAGAGTTCTTCGCAATCCTCATGGGGTGAGATCAGAGTAGGGGCTCCAACAAATTAACCCATAATGTTGGGATGGGGCTAGTCTCCCCACACTTCAGGTTCCCTTTTCCCACTGGAGGAACTGGAAGCTCAGGAGAGACTTCTCTATGTGCTAGTGTGCTGTCCTGGGGGAAATCCATGTGGTCAATATATAGCCACTTCTTTTACTCTTCTGATGTAGTCAGTCTTGGCCTCAGTGCCCAGGGGTAGGTGCTTCACCCTCCTCTTCTCAGTGATGTCTTGTTCTCAAACAGTTGTTAATTGGTCTTCTTATGAAGAGGAACAAAATCAGCCACAACCTATGTTGCCCTCTCGGGGACATCAGAATCCAGTGATTGATTTCTGAATGCCAAACCAATCCTAGCTTTCCTATAATAAATTAAACATGCTTATTTATTTACTGCACTTTTCAGATTGATAATTCATTAAGTGTTTTGCATCTACAATCATATGAAAGACTAGCCTGTAATATTCTTTTGCTGGAATGGCCTTTTTAGATTTTATTGTCAGAGTTCTTTATAAATAATGTATGGAATAGGACCTTTCCTTTTCTAATTTCAGGAAGAGTTTGTAAAATAGAGTTAATTATTGCTAAAAAGTTTGGTAGATATTTCCAGTAAGGCCACTGGTCTTGAATATTTTGGTGAGTAAATTTTAATTGTAAATTCAAAGTCACTAATAGTCATAAGATCATCCAATCTTTCTGCTTCATTTGATGACAATTTTTCTAGGAATTTGTCTTTAACACCTCAATTTTCAAATAATTAACATAAAATTAAACACAAGATCCTTCTCTTTTTATGCTTTTTATCTGTAACAATGTATCCCTTTACTCCTATTGTATTTTTGTGCCTTTATTTATATTCTTGATCAATCTCAACAGCTTTTTATAGGCCTTTTCAAGTACCAAATTTCTGTTAGACTAACTTCCTCTATTGTATTTTGTCCTTTTATTAATTTTTGCTATTATACTTATTATTTCCTTCTTTCTATTTTCTTTAGGCTTGTCTTGGTGATTTTTTAACCTGTTGAAACTGATGAGTAGCTCACTGATTTTTCAGCCTTCTTTTATTTTATATCATAGTCTATGAATTTTCTTCTAACACAAATTTAGCTATATCCCCATTAGCTATTAAAACTTAAGGTATTTGATGTGGAATATTTTGATTATCATCAACTTTATTTTTTTTAATGTTTTATTTATTCCTGAGAGAGAGAGAGAGAGACAGCATGAGCAGGAGAGGGTCAGAGAGAGAAGGAGATACAGAATCGGAAGCAGACTCCAGGGTCTGAGCTAGCCATCAGCACAGAGCCCGAAGCAGGGCTCAAACCCACGAACTGTGAGATCATGACCTAAGCCACACTCAGACGCTTAACTGATGGAGCCACCCAGGCCTCCCTATCATCAACTTTAAAATATTCTTTTCTCCTGTGATTTTATTTGACCTATGGGTTAATACAATTGTAATTATTAGTTTCCAAACAAATGAGGATTTTCTAGTTTCCTCTGTCCCACCTCCCTCCATTTGGCAAGACCCAGGCCCTAATTTTTAAAGCTTTGAAGGCTTTTAAAATCATTGCTCATCTTCTCAGTCTCTTAGCTTCCTCTTCTGAAATTAGTATTTATATCTCTAGGAAAACCTTTTCTAGATACTAGGTCATATTTCTGGATTATCTTCTTCTCCAGGACCTTGGTCTTCTAATTTTTTACTGCTTCTTTAGCTCTTAAATGCATTGTATGTTTAATTTGTCTAGTGGCTCTCAGTGGGAGGATTGTTTTCAATGACCAGAATTGGAAGCCAACAGTACCATTAAATTTATCATTCGATTTCTAAATTTAGAGATCAAATAATTTAGGGGGCTTCTACAAGAATATTTGAATTACTCAAGCTGCAGATTTTATGCCATGGATAAGTAAAGTTCAACACATATCATTCATGTGGGTGATAACAACTCTAATCAAGGACAAAGACTTTATGTAACTTTATACAACTGAACACCAAAACACACACACACACACAAAGCAAGCCAACTAAAAAAATGGGCAGGGGACCTGAACTGACATTTTTCCAAAGACATACAGATGGCCAAAAGACACATGAAAACGTGCTCACATCACCAATCATCAGGGAACTTTAAATCAAAACCACAATGAGATGTCATCTCGCACTGCTCAGAATGGCTAGGGTCAAAAAGATGAGAAACAACAAGTGTTGATAAGAATGTGGAGAAAAGAGAACTCTTGTGCACTGTTAGTGGAAATGTATATTGGTACAGCTGCTCTAGAAAACAGTAGAGAAGTTCCCAAAAATTAAAAATAGAAATATGATACAGTCTAATAATTTCACTACTAAATATTTACCCAAAGAAAATGAAAACACTATTTCAAATCCAGTAATTTCACTAGTGGGTATTTACTAGTGCACAAACACTAATAAAAAATACAAAAAAATACAAAAACAGTAATTCAAAGGGATACATGCACCTCAATGTTTATTGCAGCAGCAGTTAAAATAGCCAAATTATGGAAGCAGCCCAAGTGTCCATTTGTAGATGAATGGATAAAGAGAAGATATATATATACATATATACACATGTATATGTATTCTTCATACATATATATATGTATACTCCATATATATATATATATATACACATATATACATACACACACATGTATATGTATCCTCTCTCTCTCTCTCTCTCCATATATATATATATATATGTATACTCCATATATATATATGGAGTATTACTCAGCCATAAAAAAAAGAATAAAATCTTTCCATTTGCACCAATATGGATTGAGCTAGAGCATAATGCTAAGCCAAATAAGTCAGTCAGAGAAAGACAGAACCATACGATTTCATGCATATGTGTAATTTAAGAAACAAAACAAACAAACAAAGGAAAAAAATAAGAGAGAGACAAGCCAAGAAACAGACTCTTAACTATAGAGAACAAACTGATGGTTACTAGAAGGGAGACGGGTGGGAGTGGGGGTGAAATAAGTGATGGGGATAAGTATACTTACCATGATGAGCACTGAATAATGTATAGAATTGTGGAATCACTATATTGTATACCTAAAATTAATATAATGCTATATGTTAACTATTCTATAATTTTAAAAAAATTATTTAAAAATGTATATGTACCCCTATGTTTATTTCAGGATTATTTACAATAGCCAAGATATAGAAGCACCCCAAGTGTTCATCAATATGATGAATAAAGAAGATATGATATATTTGTAATTATATGCTATATTATATATTAGGATACATTATATTATGTATAATATATATACATACATATAAATATATATGATTTATATGTATCATATATATATCCTATGATTCTATATCATATATCCTATATTTATATATGATATATATCTATATCATATATCCTTTGATTCTAAGGAACTTAACTGAAAATAATTTTCAATATTATTTATTAAAGTAGAAATCTGAAATTATATTAAATATAGTCATAATAGTATTAATATAATCTAAGTACTGAATACTCAAGCATTTGGAAATAAACTAGTTATCTGTGGTTATTATAAGAGAGCAATTAATTCCAAGAATGAATAAGAATGTAGAAGACATATCATTTAAACAAGTTATACTAAGTATTTATCACAGTTCTTTATGGCTGGGTCTTAAAAAGCATCATAAAAAGTATCATAAAAGGGAATTAAATATGAAGTAATAAACATAACCAAAATACAGAAATCTATGCTGATGTTGTTATGTAAAAAGACTTTTCAGTACTTAAAAGTTAATTTGGTATTGATTGTGTATGACTTTAGATTCTTGATAAATACCTGTTGATGTTCTTTTATTCTATCTGCTTCTTTCCGCAGGTGGGGAGGTCCCATACACGACTCTGGCTACCCGAATGATGATGGGGGCTTGGTGGCTATTTGCATTGATTGTCATCTCATCTTACACAGCAAATCTTGCTGCTTTCCTCACTATCACCCGCATCGAAAGCTCCATCCAGTAAGTAGACAAAGATTCCAGTAGCCACAAAACCAGAGAAATGAGGAGAGTAGCCAAACCTATTTAAATAAGTATATGGTATCTGATAATATGTGTAAACCCTCCTTTAGAGTAACGGTTTAATTTTGTGACCTGCAAATATCACAGTGTTGGTAGCACATTTTTGATGAAATAAAACTCTAGGTATAATTTTAACATTGCTTCCCACATTTTCCTGGAAGAATAACACATATTCAGTATTTTAGGTTCCACAAAGTATGACTAGGTTTGGGCAACATTTTAAAAAGGAAGATAAAAGAGTCATACTAAAATATATATATTTCAAGTTTGACAGTATCAGTTTTTGTCTGGAGTCTGCTCCATTATGCACTGAGTAAATAGTTGGAAAGACATGAGATGATTGATAGATGACATATAAGGAAAGAGAGAGGAGGCCAGGGGAGAAGGAGAGAGAGGATAGTTATCAAGAGATTAAAACCACATTGTGTTTATCTCTTCATTATATTACAGCTAATGTGATCATTATTACTGCTGCTTTTCCAGCTTCAGTGGTGGCAAATTGTCACTAACTATGGTACCTTTATTTAAGCCCTAAAAGTTACCTAAGCCAATGCCTCAGTTCATAAAACCCGCTCCCATGAGCCCCAAGAGCACAAAGGCCTTTGATCAAGCATAGCTGGTCTGTGGTTTCACGTCATACAATCAGCTTCATAATGCAACTTCTGCCATATTAGAACATAATGTTCTCTGTGTCATTTTAGAAAACATTTTACTGAAAATGTTTTATTCATCCAGAAAGAGTACAGTTTGAATTTTCCTAGAGTTGAACAACATTCATTCTCAACAAAACTGACAATTCAAAGTTGTGAATAATTAATTTGTTAAGGAATTCATTCGAGATTTAACCCATCCTTTTTTTTTAATGTTTTATTATTTATTTTTGAGAGAGAGACAGAGACAGAGACAGAGAATGAGCAGAAGAGGGACATAAAGAGAGGGAGACACAGAATCTGAAGCAGACTCCAGACTCTGAGCTGTCGGCACAGAGCCTGATGTGGGCCTCGACTTCATGAACAGTGAGATCATGACCTGAGCCAAAGTTGGACGCTTAACAAACTGAGCCTCCCAGGTGCCCTAGAGATTTAACTCATCCTTAAATAAAATATGAGTATTCTTGTCTTTAAAAAAATTTTAAATGAAGTCCATTAATAGTCACAGAACTATTATAATACAATACTAAAATTAAATCAGGAATTACTGATCTATAAAGAAGTAGGATATTTTTCTTCAATTACTTGTCATATGTAATTGAAACCCCCAAGTTCAGCTGATAGTAACAGACAGTTCATCCAGTTATTGAAAGTGATGTTTCCAATTTCTCTCATCAAATCATCCTCCTCAAGTGTTTTTCCCAATTATTTATTTAGTGCAGATTCTTCATATCCTCCTAATTTATTATCCTTGTAGCCAGTTCTGTATGTTACATAAGTTATAAATGGTACACAGTGAAGTTCATGGAAAGCTTAAACTCCATCAGAATCATATTTTAAGCAATAATGAAAATGATTACAAACACCCAGCCAAGAAATCAATGAAATCAGTAAAATTATGAAAATAATAATTAACTTTTATTGAGCACTCACGGAAAGCCAAAGTATGCTGAATGTTTTACATGCATTTGCTCATTTAATCATTACAACCATCTTCTGAAATACATACTATTAATAACCATTTTATAACTGAAGTTGAGAATATAAATAACTTGCTCAAAACCATGCAGCTAATAAATGATTGATTAAACATCACACCTTAAATCTGTCTGATTACTGAGCCTATATTCTAACTAAACTTACCACTGTAGTTCCCATCCCTTGGACTTTTGTATGGCCAGTTGTTTTTAGAGAACATTATAAAGGATATGCCGTTGTCTTATTCATTGCTAAGTAAAGGGATATAAAGGATGACATTTTTCAAATCCTTAATTAGTCTGAGGATATAAATATCAAAAGTTACATGATTGTTATGTGGGACAAATTCTGTAGGCATACATCCCAACATGAAATAATTACATCCATAATTGATATCTGCCATTCAGGGAAAGACCACTTGGCAGATCCAATCAATAGAAATCACATTAAGAAAAATAGTTTTAAAAACTCAAGATGGAGTATTCTATCTCACTAATGTACTTCTTATCAATTATGTTTAACTTGTCACTTTGAGCAAACTTGAGCTGAAAACCAGTGTAGCTCATACCTGATTTTGAAGCACTTTAATAAAATAAATGAAGAAAACTTTGTAACTAATGGATTTTATCCAATAAATGACATCATCATAATAACAATTATGACTAATATACACTGAGAGTTTATTATTAATTTATTGAGCATGTTACATGTATTATCTCATTTATTCCTCAAAATAACCCTGAAAATAAAAGTATTACTATTATTCCAATTACTTAGATGAAGAAACAGAAGTTTGCAAGATAAATTCTCAAGATCGCAGAACCAATAGTGTCAGAGCTGGAAGTCTAACCCAGGTCAATTCAATACCAATCCCTGGTCTTACCCACTGAAATTTTTCCTTATCTAGTGATGGTTTCTACAATTTGTTTGCCTAATCTGCTTCCCTGGGGTTGCAGACCTCATGGTGTTTGTGTATATCTGAACTATTTAGTCATTATCAACTTTGGCAGCATTAATTTGTATCTTGACTTTTATGCAATAGCAGTGAGAGCAGAAGCCTCAATCAAATTTTTACACCCATAAGGTTTCTCTAAAGGTAAAACCTAATGGAAAAACGATCATCATTTCACATGATGTTTCCCTCATGTGTAGTTCTACAATCCACAATAACTGAGCATTCATTTTTTAAAAAAGTATTTCTTTCTAATGCCAGCTCACACTATTAAAAGTTAACATTGGGTATAATACATCTCCCTTCCTTCTAATCTTATCAGTAAACTAATTTTGAAAGGAGAAGAATCTGAGCCAAAGGAGCTAAAAGAAACCCAATTCTCTCCCCAAACTTAAAGATATCTTCTAATTTCATGCCTCAGCTGTGTTGGTAAGCATAATTGCCTGCCGTGTTTCTTGGAAACATTTAAAGTTCCATTTGCAGCTAATGTCAAACTTTCTTGGAAAATCCTAAGTTTAATTTTTCTTAGAAAAGACAAAAAAAAAGAACCACAATACCGTCCAATGTCATGGTCCTTAATCATTTATATTCATAAGATTTTCTCGTCACTAAATGAAGCACTGTTTGTCAGTGCACCTTTTTTCAGCTCATTTTTGCTGTGCCATTGGCACACATATACCAGCCACAGGTTCATTCCCCAAATTCAAAGTGGTTTCTCTAGACCCGGAGGGACAGAGGTGGTTAGAGGGAAGTCAGTGAGAGACAGGAAAAGAGCAGCTACTTCTGAATTGATGGTTGACAGAAACTATTAAAATCTTGTAGGAGAAATCCAAATAGACTCATTCTAGGGAAGCTGAATACATTTTACAAAATTTACCCCTTTTTCAAACCTAGGTATTTATCAACATCTAATCTTCTAGTTGACACTTGCCTCTAACTAAAATTTTGAAAGTGAATTATTCCTGAAAAAGATAATCCCCATGTTTAACTTTATATCCCTTCAATGATAATTGTGTTCTGCTGCTTGATATGATGTAATATGACAGATTGTGACACAGTTGGGATGGGTAATATTGAGATATACAGTTCCATTTCTAAAGGAAAAAATATTCAGTTTCTACAAGACTCTAATGACATTTGGGCTTGTTCATTGTCATTGAATGGTAACAACATGTAGCTAATTGCTTTTAGATAGCTAGCAAATGGAATGTACTTGTTTCTACTGGTAACCAGGCTAAAGTTGGCAATAGTGAAATGGAGCATGTGAAGTTCTGAAGGTAATATTAGAGTAAACCCCGGGTAATAACATCATGAACATCAGTTTATTTAGTCTTTAATTAGTCTTTGTTGTGATGCAATTTTCAGAAACCTACTACTTTCACATATAAAGTAAAAAGAGCTGTGAGAGAAATCACAGTTGTACAGTTACAGTCATTAATAACTTTAGAATCAGATTGATTTTTGATGGTGAAACTTGAGGTCTTTCATTTCCTGGGGCTATAAGTAAGTTTGGGTCTGTTCAAAGGAATTCCAGAATCTCACCATGTTTTTATGTTTAAAGCATTAATTCACCATAATGTTTGAGGTATGATTAAACAAATATTGAGGGGTTTTTTGATGCAGTCACTGAATATATTAATTTGGGATAAATTTCTTTCCAAGTATATGCAAAAATAGATCCACAGATATTCTGTCACTGAAAGGGACTCTTTTTTCCCTAACATACTAATAACAAGACTTTTGTATCCACATTTGCTCACATGTAGAAAAGGAAACAAATAATAAACCAGTGGTTTTTCTCAATGTCATACAATAGAGTATGAGCTAGCTGTAGGTTTAGAAATCTGTCTGTCACTAGGTCTGGCGACAGAGAGAAAAAGGTAGGACTGGCAGGTGCTCGTTAATGAAATTATTTATGTTTTTCTTTGCCCTCACAGGGTTATGTAACTATCTTAAGCAAGTTACTGTTTAAGAGTTCATTACAACCATGCTTTTTGGAAACGGAGGTCCAGCAAAGCCTTGGACTGAGAGTAATTTGTTCTGTGAATGTTCCACAAGACAAGCAAACATTTCTAATAAATTTTAACTTGATAAATGAGCAATGTCTTGCAATACGAACAATACATGACGCCAAACGTCAAGCCAATGGTTCTAGAAATTCGCTTTGATATACAAGTGCTTTGGATTACAAGCATATTTCTGGAACCAATTATGCTCACAAACCAAAATTTTATTGTATTTCTAACTATAAAATCTAAACAAGTATCTTATCTTCATTTATTTAGTTCAACTGAATATATATGTACATATATATTGGGCTTATAAATCTGTCTGTCACCAGGCCTGGTGACAGAAAGAGA